TACACCACTCATCATACACCACTCATCATACACCACTCATCATACACTACTCATCATACACCACTCATCATACACGACTGATCACACACCACTCATCATACACCAGTCATCATACACCGCTCATACACCAGCTCTGGTTTCAACAGCTCAAGCTCCCGGCAACTCCAGCTCCAGGTGCAGATTTCGTGGCAGGTGCAGCACTGCTAAGTTTCTAAAGTCCCTGGGGTACAGGGGAAGTTCAGATTGGATTGGTTTTATATTTTTAACCAGGTGTTCACCAACCAGACAAGCAGGGGATTGGGGAGGTTACCAATCTAAGCATCATCGTGAAATCGCAGGATGTTTATGGTCAAATATGGCCACCAAAAAGCATTCACAAACAAAGACAAACACTGGAAAGCGAGGCTGTCACAACAAGCAAGCTGAGCTGAGCCACTTTCACCTGCTACCGGTCCTGTCATGACCTAGTTTTTTGTTCAGATGCACCAATTACTGCCTTGTTGCAGTTGGTGAGGACACGAAAGACTGTTTTTTCAGTCTGTGCCGGCAATGAGCAGCAAAAACCCTCATACTGCTCACAGTTCAACGAGCTCTCACCAACAGAACAAATTAACCTTGCTGTATTCTGCGCAGTGCTTTTGAACCTCGAACAAATCATGATATCAAGTTATCTATGACTCTGCTGTGAACAAATCTTGAAACACAATGGAAAGGTAAGAAGAGAGCTGGCTTTCCACAAGGGCTACAAGAAACCTTGATTATGACCACCTTTCAGGAAGCGGAAGCAGCTCAGAAAGATTTAAGTCCGACGGCGTCTCTTGGGAGCGACACTGCCATCTGGCGCAGCCGGCTCCTGCCAAAGGATAACAGTGCCCATGAAGTAGGCTAGAACATTGTAAAGTTGTAAGCAAACAACAATCGCTCTCAGACTCTGAGTCTCTGAGTCCTTGGTCTTTGCTGATGCCTTCGCTTTGGCTTTGGCCAATGCATCCTGCAAAACAAAAAAAGGGCCGCATGTTAATGCAAACGCAACAGCAGCAGCGACGGCTGAAAAATACAATGTGGCGGAGTGGCGGAACACGTGAGCAAACAACAAGCGGCTCCTCTTTCTGCTTTGCCATCTGTGATGCCTTGGTTTTCGCTTTGGGACAGGGCAGGGTGGCTGGTGCCGCTGGCGCCTGAGCTCTGCCTTTGGCTTTGGGTTTTGCTTTTGCTTTGGGCTCGATCGGATTGGCTGGGTTGGCTTCACTTGCTGTGATGCCGGCTGCTTGTGCTGGAACTGGAACTGGAACAGCACTGGTGCCGGTGCATGTTGGAGTTGCAGCCTTCTTGGCGGGATCCTCAAAAGAAGGAGGTATCCAACCTGGAACACACCGCCGTCCGCTTGCTGTGAGTTCTGCCACAAGAGCTTTGGCATGGTCTTCTGCGCTGAGTTGCGGGTCATTGGCTTGCCAACAGTCGACATCTTCTGCGCCAGCTTCACTTGGAAGGAAAGTTCTCATGCCGGCAAGTGTTTCTGCCAACAGCTTAGAATTGTCTGCCTGTTGTGCCAGCATCGCCAATGAGCATTGCTCTGCATCAGAATCGCGGCGTGCCTTCTTCTCAAACGGTAGTACTGTTTGAGTGGTTGATCTCTTGGCAACTGCAGGCGTTGCAGTGGGCAAATGCAGTGGTGGCACTGGCCGTGCACTTGAAGATGCTTTCATGGCTGGTGCTGCTGCTTCTTCCTTGGCTGCTGACTCGGTTGCCTGTGGAGCTTGCCCTGCTGCACTGGTTGCTGTTGGGGCTGCTTGTGCTGGCTCAGAGAGTTCTGCTGCTGCTTCTGCCGTCTCTGCTGCTGTTGGGGCTTCTGCTGGCAAAGCCTGGGGGGTGGCTTTAGGTTTGTGCACATCCTGGTCAAACGGTGCTGGCGCTTCAGGTGCAGCTGGGTCTTTATCTCCATTTGTTTCTGCTGCTTCCTTGGCTGCTGCCGCTGTTGCTTCTGCGCTTGCACCTAGCTCTGTTGTGCTGATTGCTGTTGGGGCTGTGGTGAGTGTTTCTTTTGGAGTCTCTGTCTCTGGCACTACGTCTGGGGCGCCAACAACTGCTGGAGCGGCGGGCGTTGGTTCATGGATGAGATGCTGAGTTGACGGTGGCATGGCCGTCAAAGCATCAGGGTCTGGATGTTCCACAAGCCACTCAATGAAATCCACGAGCTCTTCAATTGGATCTCCAGAGGAGGAGTGAAACTCCCAAGATTCATCACCATACAAGTTCCTCAGTTCCTGCTCATGGGCTGTCAAAAGTGGATGCTTTTTGGCTTGCAACATTACTTCTCTCAGCGCAGCTGGCTGCTTCGCCAATGTCTCCATGATCTCCAAGCCCAAATGATCACGCCAGTTGCCGTCAGGCGGGCCACCAGCCGTTGCCACGTCCAACACATGCCGAAGAATGCCTGCAAAGGATCCAAAAGGGATAGTCCCCAAAGGAAACTGAGGCGGGCCGGGGCACTTGCCAGCGCTGCTGCTGCTGCTGTCTTGTTCCAAAAATTTGATGAACCCACG